TTTCTATTAAATGCAAACGTGTTCGTAATGTAATTCATGGAAAATAAGCAAACCACAATTTGGGAAACTGATAACCTAACGGTGACATAAAAACCACTGGATAAGGATAAGGATAAGGAGATAAAAAATATTAAAAGGAATAAATAAAGATTGTGATAAAGCAACAGGCTTTCAACCGAGTTGTGCCCAGCAGATTACTTGGATTACATACAAAGTGAAAGAGCAAACTCTTATTTCTAAAGTTTACTGGCTATAAAGAATAAAATTCGTCTCACGGATCACAATTAAACTCCTGGAACTGATTTGTCATTATTCTAAAAATTATAAAATTATAAATATATATATATATATAAAATAATTTATAAACAATAGAATAATATAAAAGTAATTTATTATACATATAATTTTTTTAAACTAATATATCCAGTTGAAGAAACTTAAAACCAATAAAAATAGGATGAAAACTTAACGAGACAAGGACGAGAATAGTTAAAGAAAATCATGAGCAGAAAACCGTAATCACCCACCCCGCTTCACCAGAACCTTTAAAAACCAAAACTGGAAATATTAATGTTATAGTTTAATAACACCTGTCATTTTAAGGACATAAATATGTCTCACTGCTTCTACTGAATGTAAGAAGAAGAAAAAAAGTCAGCTCAATCTTGTGATAAACTTATTACGTCTTCACACTTTTTTCTTTTTATTCATCTGAATATCTGCTGAATTTAATAATTAATATCTAGTTAAAATATTCTTTTTTTCTAGAACAATTTTTAACCAATTTATATGTCCTTGAGCATTTAAAAAATGAATTGGATTAATAAGTGGAAAGGACGTATTTAAAATCTTCATCTGTAAGGAATGTTAAATAGATGAACACCAATAAGTTGAATCTATTTTGTAATTCTAATACAAGAAAAATCAAAATTACCAACGGACAAAATCCGTCGATAAATAAGAAAATTTGTCAATAAATATATATTATCGACGGATTATCGACGGTCCTAAATTCGTTGGTAATTGTGTTGTTGGTAAAATTTATCAACGGATTCACGTCCGTCGATAAATGTTACGAGTAATTACCGATGAATTTCCATCGAAATATTTGTATTATTTATTAAATTTTTTATTTATTATAAAACCTATTTTTCTAGAGACATCCCCTCCCCTTTCTTTATATTATATTATTATATATTATATTATTATTATTTATTTTCTTTTTTATTATTTATTTCCCCTCTTTTATATTTTAGAAGTTTGAATTATAATTTATCCTTAGAATTCGAGGTCGATATTCCAATTATTGAACTACCCGAAATTTTTGATTATATTTTACAATAAATTATATTTATATACAAATAAATGTATATCCAAATAAATATATAAATACAATATATTTATATTTTTATATTTTTAGATTTATACATTTGTATATTTATATATTTGTATATTTGTATATTTGTATATTTATATATTTATATATTTGTATATTTATATATTTGTATATTTGTATATTTGTATATTTATATATTTGTATATTTATATATTTATATATTTGTATATTTATATATTTATATATTTATATATTTATATATTTATATATTTATATATTTATATATTTATATATTTATATATTTATATATTTATATATTTATTTTATATATTTATATATTTATTTTATATATTTATATATTTAGATTTTTTATATATTTATATATAATTAAATATTTATTTTTTAAAAATTATTTATTTTAATAAATTATTATAAATTAATCTAATTATGATTACATTAATTTATTAAATAGAAAAAATATTTAATTTTTTAATTAGGCGAATAATTAATTTATTAGAATATATTTAAAATTAAGTAATTAATATATAATTTTATTGACGGATATATCCATCGGTAAGTAATTGTTAATTTACCGACGGATTTATCGACAGATATATCCGTCGGTAATTAATTGTTAATTTACCGACAGATATATCTATCAGTAATTAATTATTAATTTATCGACAAATATATCTGTTGGTAACTAATTATTAATTTACCGATGGATATATCCGTCGGTAAGACCAATTTCCACAAATACTTTATATCCGTCGGTAATAACTAAATTTTCGACAGCTACAAATCCGTCAATAAAAATTCATTGGAAATAAACGATTTTCTTATAGTGTTCTAAAGGAAAATATTCACAAAATTCTGGACCTTAATTGCTACTTTAAATATTTTAAAATGAAATTAAATGTTTCTATTCTTACCCTTAAATGGTTTTGTTTAATAAATATTTTTAAATTTTTATTAAATGAAAGGGTGAAAGTCTGCTTACAAGATCAAAATTTTATAAAGCATGAAATATATATTACCTTATTTCAATACCTTATAAAATAAAAGTAAATCATAGAATTATTCATAGTGAAAATTAAAGAGACTTAAAAAAGTTCACAAGCATAAAATAAATTGCACTGTTAGGTAGAAATTAACATGTTTTCTGAACCTGAATGGCTTTTAGAAATTGGCAACTCACCTGAAATTAGATTATGAGAATGGATCAATAAATTATACTGTATTATGTCTCACTCACCTGCATTATTAATAAAGTATATGAGTATTAATGATTGCCATTTGCACCCACAAATTTTATCAGCATTAATTAATTATAATATATACTTGTGAAGGTAAAATTAGATGGAACTCAAAGAAATTCATTAAATATAAGCCATACTTTATAATAAATAAATAGGTACTATAAAGAGGAATATAGGCATGTTTGCAGAATTTTTTTATTAAGATTTTTAAGAGAAAATGAATATATTTTTTAATAAATTAAAATTAGTTCGGGTTTAGGATTTATAAATTTTATAAAAACTCTTTTATATCAGTTTTTCAATTCTTTATTTATATAATTTTTTTTTTTTTACTTTTTTCTGGATAAATATTTAGGGGAAAGGTTTTCCCACCAAATCCCTACTCTCCTCATTGGCCTTTTTGGGATATGAAGTATAAATTCGTTTTTTTTTTAAATAGACAGAAACAGCTATTACAAAAAAGTAATTCATTATATATTTTTAATTCATTTTTTTTGTTTTATACGCATTTAATGAAAAAAAAAAGTTATCAAAGTTAAAATTTCACTAAACATTATATTAAATAATACTCAATTTTCTTAGTCTTAAAATAAATACACCTAATTTTAATTCAACATTTATATTTTTAATTAGATAACACTTATACTTTGATTTTATTTAAAAATAATATCACTAACATTTAAATAAAAATTATAAAAAATTAAAATCAAAATTTAAAACATGAAAATTAAAAATTATAACTTTAAAAATTCGTGAAGATAATCAATGCAGTGAAATCTTGTGTTTGATGTTTGGCATGTAGGGAAATTTGTTGAACTGGCGACTGTGCAAATGAAATTTGTAGGTGAAAAAAACTGTCCTAACACACTCTAATTTTAACCACACGCACACACCTTATACATACATATCTTGAATATTATTGATAAAGTATACGTGGTAATCTTTCTTTATTTATATTTATATTTTTATATGTAAATATAATAATAAAATAATAATTTAATAATATATTTTACAGTCACTTATTTATTTATCTTAAGATAACATTTTGTAAAAACTGTAACTTTTTTTTAACTTAATTTATAACATAATTTTGTGGTATTTTTAATGAATAATAGTTAGAACACTTAATTTTTCAATAGATTTTTTTTTACACTCAAAATTTTAATATATATATATATATATATATATATATATTAATGTTTGTTTATAAAATTATAATTACTTTTAAAATATTAATTTTATTTAAATGTATATATATAATTTAATTGAGCTTATTTTTCAAAAAGTAGTTTTATTTATACTAATATTTACGATACAATTTTATTTAGACTAAGCTTTACATAGAAAAATATTTAAGTTTACATTTTAAAGAATAACTTTTAAAATTTTATTTATTTTTTTTAACATAAAATAAAACGTATATATATGTATATACATAATAACTCGCTTTTTTGAAAACGGTACTCCACAAATAATAATACAAATAGCAAGAGAAATTATATTAGACAAAATAGAATAGGTAGCAACAGAAATAAGTTGTTACCTCTAATTTAAATTGTTGGATGATCAATGGTTCTTTTTCATGCTTATTTTAATTTGGAATGAGAATTTTTCTTTGGTTATTTCCAAATGCCCCTTTAGTAAAGAGTCAAATTTCAAGATTTAAAATTTTAGTTTTAAAAGTTAGACCCATAATTTCCTCTAAAAGAAGTTAGAGACTATAATAAACCCATAATATAAGAATATCAATTTACACTCTAATGTTAGACAAACCTCGTTAGTTACATAAACAATAATTTTTTTTATATATTGTTTAGTTGGTGTTTTTTAAGACATTAATTAAGAAATGAGTGAATAAAAAATATTTAAAAAGGAGTGAAAAGAAAAGAGAATAAAGATATTTTTAATTTAATAGTTCACTGCATCTCTTTGACTTAGCTTTTATTTATTTTAGCCCCACGAGACCCCCGTTTCATGAGTCTGCCTTTCTCTGTGTCTGGTCTTTGCAAATTAAAACCACACGCAAACTATTAACTGCTTTCTTCTTCTCTCTCACGTCTTTCCTTTCCTGCTTTCAGAGATAAAGACAAGAGTGAGTACTAGTCTGGGTGTGTTGAGACCGATGGATTTATAGAGTCTAAGCATTGTTCAGTGAGTGGTTTATTTGTTGAGAGAGATTCATGAAAATGATCCATATCTCTCATTATTTCTCTTCATTTTCAAGCATCCCCTTTCAAAAAGACTTGAGCTTTGAGACACAACATGTGTTTTCTGGTTTCAGGACGGAGACTTGAAAATGGGGTTCTTATTCAGATGAAGGACTTTGTTTCTTCTTCAAATTTTTGGTTTCTTGAGAGAAAACAACTGTCAACGGGATCCCATTGGTTGCTAGAGTAAAGAGTCAAATGGAGATTCACAGAAGACGTTTCAAGGGAAGCTTCCTTAGCTTCTTTGAATGGAATGGCAAATCTCAAAGAAAGCAGCTTTGTGACAGTCCTAAGTTGCCTGGTAACTGTCTGCAGTCTCTCGTATATATATTTATTGTTCTTATTTGTTACACCTCTGTCTTGCTTGCTTTGTCCATATATTTGTCCCTCTTCAATCATTAAGTCATTCTATGAAGTGAAGTGAGTTTGATGGACCTGTTCTAAACTATGCTACATGTACTGTAGAAATTTCAAAGGAAGGAAAGGAAAACTTGGACAGCATGCCAAAGTCAGAGGTCAATAGGGTGTGAATTTGTTCAACCTTTCCCAGTCCAAGAGTTATTTATAACTTTTTTGTATTCGTTTTTTCTTCCTTTCTTTCGTAATACAGTTTAGCATTTTTTGGTTGTTGCAATTTTTTCAGATAAAAATGGATGACAATGGAGCAAATCGTAGTAATAATGCAAGTTGTGGTTTTGATTGTGCCTTATCAATTAGTAGTGATGAAGGGTATGGAACTAAAGCTCCAGGGTTACTAGCCAGACTCATGGGTTTGGATTCATTGCCGGTTTCAAATGTTTCTGAGCTCTCCTCATCATCCACTTCGTTATATGGCTCTAACTCTCTTGGATCTTCTCATTCTCGTGACGGGGATGCTCTTCACTCAACGGTTGACTATTGTTGTCTCGTGGATCTCATAAACATAGGACTTAAGCCGGTCAACTCTTCATGGAGTGTCATGGAATCAAAAGTAATAAACCCTGCAATGAAGAGATTTCAGACTGAAGTGTTGCCTCCAAGGTCTGCCAAAATCATTCCAGTTACACACAACAAACTTTTGTCTCCTATCAAGAGCCCTGGCCATTTTCCTCCTAAGCATGCAGCTCATGTAATGGAGGCAGCTGCCAAAATAATTGAAGCAAGTCCCCAGCCATGTATGAGGAATAGAATTTCTTCGGCCGGACCTTCATCTGTACCCTTAAGAATTCTTTATCTGAAAGATAAATTGGAAGCTGCACAATATGAATCCATGTTCTCGTGTAAACACACTGTTAACCCTCTGAATGTCAAGCCTAGTGAGAGGAGAAACAGTTTGTATAAATCTGCTCCAAGTTTAAAAGATTCAAGAGATTCAGAAAAAAACAGTTCTTGTCGGTTGGCAAGCAAAGGAAAATCAGTTTCACTTGCAATTCCATCAACAACCAATGTTCATAGCCGTGATGAATTGACTTTGAATGTTAATAGGGGATATGTGAAGCGGAAGGGACATATTGATATAAAATCAAACAAGTTGCCTCGGAGCCAGAAGAAACAAATTACAGACCGGGCCAGGTTCATGCAGCAGAAAGCTTGTACAGGCCAGAATAACAATGTGCTTGGGAAGAATAACCAAAAGCTGAGTAGTGAAACCAACAAAGGTAATTTGGCTTCAAAGGCGGACTCCAATAAGCCAACACAAACTTGGTCTTCAGAAAGTTCTACTAGAGCAAAGAAGACCACCAAAAAGGGTGCTGTAAAAGCCAATAGTGAGTCCAAAAGGTCAGGCACAAGGGTAACTGGCACCCCAAAGGAAATTCCAGTTTCCAAAAGAATTTCCCAAAAGAAAAACTATATCAATAGAGATGTTCACAATGAGGGAAGAGGCACTCATACTGCAGCTAATAATTATGAAAACAAGTCCATAAAATGCAATGTTACAACTGATGGAAGTATTAACCAGGATGCATTTAGCATGAAAGGTAGTAATGGTGTGATTTCATTTACATTTACATCTCCCTTGAGAAGAAACATGCCCGAGTTACAGTCCTCTGATGAGCAAATGATGGGAACAAGGAATAAAATTGATGCCAATTCTTGTAGCAATAATGATAAGCTCTATCCTAAAAAATCATCATTATCTCCTCCCAGGTTACATGTAATAGATGGTGATGCTTTAAGTGTCCTTTTGGAGAAAAAGCTGCAAGAATTGACATCTAGAATTAACCCAACTCAGTGCTCCCCGATGAAAGAAGGGACTGCTGCTGGTTTGGAAGACAGAAGGTTTCACCCCAACCTGTTTAGTAATAAATTGGACAGCAGGCATGACAATTGTTTGTCAAGTGATAATATGGTGCTTAACATGAATCAGCAACTGCAGGTCTCTTTCATTTCTTTTAAAATATCAGTTCCATTTATTATTATTATTATTATTTATTTATTTTTTAATTTTTAATTTGTAAGTCTTAATATATTACATCAATTAGTCCAAGGGAATATATTTTAGGGTTTTGGTAGGGAAGGGGAATGAAGTGGGGATTTGTTTAATACGATCTGCACACTATTAAGTTATTATTATTTTCAAGTTTAAATATTTTTTATTTTTGAAGTTTGAACTGAAAACAACCATATACTACTATTAGCACTCAATCACTCTTCACTTGTGCAGACATCCGAATCAATGGAAGGGCCTAGCTGTAGCAGCAGCAGTGAAAGCAGAAGTGGAAGTTACTTAGATAGTGTCTATGGTAAAAATGTCTTGGTATTTAGTTTCTTTGCGCTGCCGATGAGCATATTTTTATCCAAATCTATAAGAAAAACCTGAGTGTACTTCACTTTTTATGGATTTATTATTGCATACTGCAACAAGTTTAAAAATCTTCAAGGTGGGAGGGAATTAACTCTAGAACTGTCATTGAGCTAGATGTGGCAATGAAACTTTGCAGCAGATGTTGCAGAGTATTCTAAATAGCTGACCCATTTTGCTTTATAATGGAGTCTTTACAACAGTTTCAATTTAATGTTTAACATCCAGCTTGCCATGCATGTATTATGAAGATATATCTGTTATTCATCAAATTTAGATCATGAAATAACAGTTAGAATTTTTTTTGGTTCCTCAGCACAATTGCATAGGTTCATAAAATTAACATCTGTCCATATTTACTCTCTTTTTAGGCAGCACAGTTTATTCTTCCATGCAAGATGAAGAGGTGACTGATTTTACTCCAATGAATGAATCTCTACCACTCGAAAACGAGGCCGAATGGTCTGAGCAAAGCTCTTCCATAGTGCTGGGGGATGGCGTGGTTGCCATTGAACAATCAAGTGTAATCCCAAATTCAGTCGAATTTACAAGCTCATCTAGGAACGTGGAACTTGAATATGTAAAGGATATACTCAACAATGCAGAGCTGATGACAGAAGAATTTGTGATGGGTGAGACAGATAAGATCATGATGCCAAATCTCTTTGATATGTTGGAGACTAAGAGCATTGTGGCAGAAAACTATGAGAAGTACTCTAAGATTGAGAGGAGGGTTATGTTTGACACTATCAGTGAGTGCTTAGAGTTAAGATGTAGACAAGTTTTTGTTGGAAGCTGCAAAGCATGGCTTAAATGGGTGGCTTCAGTGCAGAAGAAAAGCTCTTTAGCAGAAGAGTTGTACAAAGAAATCTTGAGCCTTAGAAGTATGGAAGAATTAGTCGTGGATGAACTTGTCTGCAATGACATGAGTGCAGGATGGCTTGACTTTAACACTGAAGCCTCTGAAAAGGGTTCAGAACTTGAGTTTGATGTTGTAACCTGTTTGATGAATGAATTGGTTTCTGATTTGTTACACTTTTAATTCCTCAGTATCTTACGTTAACATTTTTCACAGTGCATGTATACATAATCACATGGTAGGCTTTGTAATGTTTTCTATAATTGTAAACAACCGATACCATCAAAATTCCCCCTAGACTCTCTCCATTGGATACTGATATTATTTTTATACTTATTGACTATAGAATTTATCTTAATCGTTGTAAGGTCTAATAGTCAAATTTGTCTTTTGGAAAACAGAATGTTACTGGTACATTTAAACTGTTAATATTAGAAACTAAAATCAATCTTCAAGTTAGCAATATTACATGACAACTCAATACTTATTTTAATTTCTTTAGTACTTGATTGTTTTCTACTGCAAACAAAATATCATATTAGAAAGGAAAATCTAAAAGGATCTTATCACTTTCAAGACTATTTTTTTCAAAAGTATTATAAGAAAAAAATTATATATTTAAATTATACTATAAAAAAATCGCATATTTCCGACAGAATTTTACTGACGGATTTGTAACCGTCGAAAAATGAGTTATTACCGACGGATATAAAATATTTGTGGAATTTGGTTTTACCGAACGGATATATCCGTCGGTAAAATAATAATTAGTTACCGACGCATATATCTATCGGTAAATTAACAATTAATTACTGACGGATATATTCGTTGATAAATTAACAATTATTTACAACGAGATATTTACGTCGGTAATTTAATCAACAAATTAACAATTAATTACCGACGAATATATCCATCGGTAAATTAACAATTAATTATCGACAAATATATCCGTCGATAAATTAATAATTAATTATCGACGGATATATCCGTCAATAAATCCATCGAAAATTAACAATTAGTTACCGAAGGATATATCCGTCGGTAAAATTATATAATAATTACTTAATATATTCTAATAAATTAATTATTCACCTAATTAAAAAATTAAATATTTTTTTATTTAATAATTTAATCATAATTAGATTAATTTATAATAATTTATTAAATTAAATAATTTTAAAAAATAAATATTTAATTATATATAAATATATCAAAATATATAAATATATAAATATATTTGTATTTATATATTTATATGGATATATATTTATTTGTATATAAATATAATTTATTTATAAATTATTATCAAAAAATTCTAGTAGCTTAGTGGTTGGAGTATAAAAAAATCCTAATAATGACACTTCTATTAATCTCATAATAATTCAAAGTTATAAAAACATAAAGAGGGGAAATAAATAATAATAAATAATCCAACTCTAAGGTATTGGGTTCGAATTCGCCAATGATAATTCTATTAATCGGGTAATAATTCAAAGTTATAAAAATATAAAGGGAGTCGGATCTCTAAAAAAATAGGCTATAAATAATTAAAAAATACTATAAATAAAAAAAATATTATTGATGATTCCTGTTGATAATTTTGTCGTTAATTTTAGTATTTCTTGTAGCGTTAGTTAATGCATAAATTTAATATAAGAATTTAGAAAAGTTATATGTGAGATCTTTTATGAATTAATTTATACATCAATTGAATTTAACTGGTTAAAATTATTAATTTTAAGAGTCTGTATTTATCTCCGTATCTAGCAAACTTTAATCCCTTGGATTTTTCATCTATTCATTATATGTCATTATAAATAAAGAGATAAACCCTCTAAAACATTTTTTTTCTTTTTACTTTTAGGTTAACTTATGAAAAAAATTATTCGATTTTTAATTTTTTTTTCTCGTAATAATAGTGTTAAGGTTCTAACATAAAACCAATTGACAATATGTGGAGTAGCCTAACATGTATTTAAACCATACCAAATGACATGAGGTAGGCGATGTGGGACTTTCAACACACCCCCTCCAACGAAGCCCACCGGACCAGGCAAAGGGTACTTTTGACCCAACTAAAGGGCAACTTTTGGCCCATGACAATAACCGGAAAGATGTTAGGCTTTGGCTCTGATACCATGTTAAGGTTCCAACATAAAACCAATTGGCAATATGTGGAGTAGCCTAACATGTATTTAAACCATACCAAATGACATGAGGTAGGCGATGTGGGACTTTCAACATGTTGAATATAAAGAAAATATAGTTTGGAATTAATTTCCCTTGTGTATAAATCACACATAGGGTGGTCTATTTATAGTAGAGAAATACAACTAAAAGAGTAACTGAAAGTAACAGAATAAACAGAAGATATTGTTTGATATTGTGGTTACCAATATCTAACAATATCTTAACAATATCAAATAATATATAAACAATATCTAACACTCCCCCTCAAGCTGGAGCATACAAATCGTATGTGCTAAGTTTGTTACAAATATAATCAATTCTAGGACCCAGTAAAGATTTAGTAAAAATATCTCGCTAACTGATCACTTGAGTTAACAAACTCGGTCTTGATATCTCCGGACATAATCTTTTCTCGAATAAAATGACAGATCAATCTCAATGTGTTTGGTCCTCTCATGAAAGACAGGATTAGAACTAATATGAAGAGCGGACTGATTGTCACACACAAGTGTCATTTGAGTGACATCTCCAAATTGTAACTCTCTAAGCAATTGCTTGAGCCAAACAAGTTCACAGGAAGGCGAGGCCATAGCTCTATATTCGCTTCACGCACTGGATCTTGCCACAACACTTTGTTTCTTACTTTTCCATGAAATCAAGTTACCACCAATGGAGACACAATATCCAGATGTAGATCTTCTATCCGAAGGAGATCCCGCCCAATCGAGCATCCGAGTAGCAAACAACTCTTGTATGGTTATTAGAAGCATATAACAATCCTTTTCCAGGAGATCCTTTAATATACTTCAAGATACGAATGATTGCATTCCAATGATCTTCACATGGTGAATTAAGAAATTGACTTACCACACTCGACTGCAAAGGAAATGTCGGGACGAGTAACCGTAAGATAATTCAATTTTCCAACCAATCTTCTATACTGCTCAGGATCGGATATAGGCTCCCCCGATTTGGTAGAAGTTTAGTATTGGGATCCATGGGTGTATCAACAGACTTTGAACTCATCAACCCAGTTTCTTCCAAAATATCTATGGCATACTTCCTCCGAGATATAACAATACCATCATTGGACTGTGCTACCTCAATACCCAAGAAATATCTAAGTTTGCCAAGATCTTTGGTCCGAAAATGGTGACAAAGATGTTGTTTCAACTGAGAGATGCCATGGTTGTCACTACCTGTAAGAACAATATCATCAACATATACTATCAAGTAAACACATCCAGGCACTCGAGTGTCGATAAAAGACAGAATGATCCGATTCACACCGAGTCATACCAAATTGTTGAACAACCTTGCTAAACTTTCCAAACCAAGCCCTAGGAGACTGTTTTAGGCCATATAGGGATTTGCGAAGACGACATACCATCCCGAGAAGACTCCCCCGAGCAACAAACCCAGGAGGTTGCTCCATATATATTTCTTCTTGCAAATCACCATTGAGGAAAGCATTTTTAACATCCGAGTTGATAAAGAGGCCATTGTTGAAGAGCGACCATGGCGATAAATAAACAAACAGAAGCCATCTTTGCCACGGGGAAAAGGTATCTCCATAATCCAACCCAAAAATTTGAGTATAACCTTTGGCCACAAGATGAGCTTTGAGGCGATCAATAGTACCATCGAGTCCAACTTTGATAGCAAACACCCACCTGCAACCAACAACAGATTTCCCAGACGGTAACGGGACCAATTCCCAAGTTCCACTATTATGAAGAGCACTTAGTTCATCTAACATGGCCTGACGCCAACCAGGATGGGCTAAAGCTTCACGGACAGTTTTTGGAATGGTCACGGAAGAAATAGAGGAAAGACATGTATAAAAAGGTAATGACAATCGATGATAACTCAAAGCAATATAATGGGGAGAGGGATTACGTGTAGAACGAATACCTTTTCGGAGGGCAATGGGAAGGTCGGACTCATGTGTCGGATCCGGAGGAGACAGAGTAGTTGGCACTTGAGTAGAGTCACATGGTGGTGGTTGTGATTGGTTTCGAGAACTATAAATCTGAAGAGGCAGTGGAGAAGAAGCTAACTGCGGAGCAGAAACTAATGGTGAAGAAGACACAATTAGAGGGTCACAAACAACAGGAACATTAAATGTATTAGGAGTGTTGACAAGATTGGATGGAGACAGAGGTGAAGTTTGACTTTTAAAATAAAGAGACAACTCATCAAAGGTGACATCTTTTGACACAAAATAACGGTTAAGAGAAGGAGAAAAACATTTGTATCCTTTTTGTGATCTTGTAAACCCTAAGAAAACACATTTATGTGATCTAGGAGAAAGCTTGTCCGGACCGGAATTGAAATTATGAACAAAACATGTAGACCGAAAACTTTCGGAGGTAAAGGATGAAGTGGTTCATGAGGGAATAAAATGGAATGAGGTATTTTATTATCTAAAACCGAAGAAGGCATGCGATTAATGAGATAACATGCAGTAAGAAGAGCATCACCCCAAAAATGTTGAGGAACATCTCCATGAATTAAAAGTGTGCGAGTTGTTTCAATAAGATGTCTATTTTTACGTTCAGCTACACCATTTTGTTGAGGTGTATAAGCACAAGAAGTTTGATGCAAAATACCGTGAGAAGCCATGAATTGTTTAAAAGAATGAGAAAGATATTCACGGCCATTATCACTACGCAAAACTCTAATAGAAACACCGAACCGAGTTTGAATTTCATTAAAAAAAGTTTGAAAGATATGAAATAATTCGAACGATTTTTCATCAAAAATAACCAAGTGCATCTGGAATAATCATCAATGAAAGTAACAAAGTATTGAAAACCTAAAGTAGACTTAACGCGGCTAGGTCCCCAAATGTCAGAGTGAACCACGGCAAAAGGGGACGAAGCACCACGTGTGAAACTACGAGGAAAGGAAGTACGACTATGCTTGCCTAATTGACATGACTCACACGCTAAACTAGATAAGTTAGACAAGGCAGGGACAAGTTTCTG